TACGGGAAGGGTCGGAGTTGCTCCGACAAGGACAATCTCTTCACTTCGCCACTCAACGGCGAAAAATCGCAGTTTAACGCGTATTAAGAAGTGTGTATCTAGTGTATATATTAGTGGATATACACTTAGAAAGATTGCGCATTCATTTCTTTATAATATTGCTTTATTAGCCCTTATATTGAAATAGGACCGGACAACAATTCTCTGGCCAAGTTCTCCAAAGTGCAATACGAAAAAAAGTTGTGCGCTTGATGTCAGTAGATCATTAATAAATGATCTACTGAAATAATAATGCATAAATCTGGTGAGTATGTACCAAAATTATATTCAAGATTGGGAATATTCCGCTTCCGCAGCAGCGTTTGACTGTTCATGGTGCTACTTTACGCGGAGTATGTTCAGAAGACCCGTAGCCTCGAGGCAGACGGCGATTGCCTTTCCTCTTGCGAATACGCCGTACAATTTGTTTTGTACATGAGGTCAATATTTCTAGATTAAAGTCGTTGCGCCTCGCATAACCTCATTTGCAGGTGCGAGCGACCTGTGCTACCTACCTGCCTAGCAGGTGCAAGCGACCTGCGCTACCTACCTGCCTAGCAGGTGCTAGGGACCTGCACTACCTACCTGCCTAGCAGGTGCTAGGGACCTGCGCTACCTACCTGCCTAGCAGGTGCTAGGGACCTGCACTACCTACCTGCCTAGCAGGTGTTAGGGACCTGCGCTACCTACCTGCCTAGCAGGTGCTATAGGGACCTGCGCTACCTTCCTGGCCTAGCAGGTGCCAGGGACCTGCGCTACCTACCTGCCTAGCAGGTGCCAGGGACCTGCGCTACCTACCTGCCTAGCAGGTGCTAGGGACCTGTGCTACCTACCTGCCTAGCAGGTGCTAGGGACCTGTGCTACCTACATACCTACGAGACCTTCTCAGGGATTGCGCCTTTGATTTTCCTGAAGCCGAGCTCGCTGAACCCGAAAATGTATGTCCTCACAATTTGTGTGATTTGTAATTATCGAAAAACGTATGAATCAAAGAATGGAAGTAATATGCTGAATTTCGAAATTATATTTTGTTGTATTGTGTCCGACAAAACATGATATTTTTCATTATTCTTAGACTTTAATTTTTTCACCGATTTCGAACAAAGTTTGGTCGCTAACATATTTTCATATCGACTTTTATTTTGCCTCTAAAAACTTTCCGTGTGGATTACGGTTAGTATTTCCGCGGTGTTTTGAGTGCTAATGTTATAAAAATTTACCAATAAGAATCTCATTTTTTTATTTAATATTGTGTGATTTGTAATTATTGAAAAACTTATGAATAAAAGAACGGAAGTAAGATGTGAAAGCTCAAATTAAATTTTGTTGTTATGTGTTTCGTCCAAAAAAAGCGATATTTTGCATTATTCTTAAACTCTTTAATTTTTTCACCGATTCCGAACAAAGTTTTGTCGTTTACGTATTTTCAAATTGACTTTTACTTTGACTCCAAAAACTTCTCATGCGGATTGATGTTAGTATATCCACGGTGATTTGGATGCTAATGTTTGGAAAATTTACCGATACGAATCTCATTTTTTATTTAATCTTATTGCATTTTGTGCACGAAATTCATCCTTCCACCGCACTTAGCGAGACCTTATTTCTGCCACGAATGCGTTTTAGAAACTTTGACGAGTTGTTTTTACCTGATCATCGAATTTCAACCTGCGGCTCCTACATCATATTTAATTACTTTTTTTATTTTATTATTTAGTGATTTTGATAACCATGAAATTATTTAGTTTGTGTCGATTTTCACACGCAATGAGGACGTTAAACTCAAATAAAAGTTTTACTACAACTTGAAACTTTTAAATGCAGCTAATTTTTGTTAATCTTGTCTTATTAACTAATTTGTTGTTGTTAATTTTGTCCTTTCACGTACATTGAAATCATATAAATCTTGCAAAAACTGAACGTTTCTCTGAACCTTTCTNACAACTGGCGTGAAAAGACGACTGGAAATCTCACCAGGGCTTATTTCTCGACGAAGTTTTCTGTAAGTCACGCGATGAATTAGTCCTGATATCAATGATGAAAACATGATTTGCGTTATTAACTATCAGTGCTTATGGCTATATTTTGCGTCAAGTTTCATGGTCTTCTTATAATTTTTACGGCATGTTTTTAAGTTCAAAGCATTTATTTTTGGCAACATTGAAAATATATTCATAAATTCATGTCTGAGGTATATCTCTCCATAAGCGTCAATGCCAGCAGCATTTTTTTCAATTTTAGCAAAGGTTTTTGCCAAAGAAATATGACGAATTTTAAATTTTGCTTTGAGTAAGCGAGTGCTAAAAATAAATATTTAAGAATTTTAAATTGAGCATTGTTTTTAGTAAATTTTATCAGCCTTTAGGTCAGCGAAAAAATGTGAAAAGGATATCCTAGTGACGGACGATCCCTCTTGGCAAGTAATAAATAATTTTTTCATTGTAACTATTGTGAATGGCAAGAGATCTTGCTTTCAAAATTAAAATTTCAAATTATGATTTGTAATTTTAATTTATTTGCCATTTTATAACAGGCACTTCATGGAATATAAAAATATATTGTTTATTATTTCAATCTATCAAAAGCAGAAGATGCAATAAGTCAAAACGCTTGAGTCCCATACTATTCAAAACGACACGTGAGGGACTTTGAAGGATTTAAACCTGTCACTTGCGACATTCTCATTACCTTGTTCCCCCATCATTACATGGAGGCTTGCCACAGCTCTCTTCCGTCTTCAAATTACATTTGAAAACCAAGCTGGCTAAAAAATCAGTACTTCCGCGACGGCACTCGGCAGTGCATCTTCTTCCCAGCCGTTTCTTTTGGACACGCTTGTGATTTTGCCTTGACTTAAATTGCAAGTCATCGCTACCAAGGGGCTTGGGAATCCAAGCTCGCTGATTGGTTCCTGTCTCCCGTTAGTGCGTGAGAAACTTATGGGATTAAGAAAAGGCACTCACTACATAGTGGCATGTTTAATTTTTGTGAATTTTTTTAATTTGTTCAAAAAACAAATACATATCTAAGTGGGGATTGGAAGTATATTATGCATTAACTCTCATAGTCATAAGGTTTATTCACAGATGGTAAATTGATATAAAAATGCTTCGTCAATGATCATTAAAGCAGCATTTAAATGAATTCAATCGATAAAAGCTCGAAAAAGTGTTTGTAAATCGCATAACATCATGAAATAATGCAAAATTGAACTAATTTGATTCATTAGCATGGGAAATTTATTGAGCCAACAAGAATTCCAGAATAACCATTTGTGAAGTAAATTTTTCTACTTACTAATCTGATTAATTGATTAGACAATATTTGTAATTACTTTCACTTAATCGTCTGTTTAATTAATCAGACGATTATTTTATCTTTTTAATTAATTCTACTTAATCATCTGATTAATGAAAATTAATCATCTGATGACTTTAACGATGTCAGTTAGACATCATTAAGGCATTATGCCGGAGTGGGAAACTCGTGAACAAATTTGTGCTGCCAAATCAATGTCACAATAAATGGTAACGCATGGAGACACTGGCAATGTATTGAGGCTCAATGATGTCATTGTAAATGGTGACACAGAGAGCAGTCAGACCTTGAACTCGTCGGGTGTCTTTAAACTTATATGCCTGTTTACTTTTGCATGAATGGTTCTTCTAAATGCAAGACATGGAGATAAATAACAGTTTTTTATACGATGTCCATCGTAAGATGATGATGTAGGTATTTTTATTTTTGATATGAAATATTAAAAATATGAGTGAAAGAATTCACGGAGCATTTTTCAGTTCCATTGCATTAGTGATTGCTGTGGTGCTTTGCCTTTTAACAGTGAATCATGAAATTCAGGATCCTTCACCGAATTAAATGAACATTTTCATTGCAAAGGAGGTGATTCAATAAAAAACTGTTCAATCATTAGATCAATACGGCACATTGTTGGTAAAATTAGCGCTTCTGAAAAGCGCAGGCTGTTGGCGACAGTAGAAATCAGCGTCCATGCTGAACAAATTAAAATCTTGATATATATAGTTTTAAATATTTCCCTACTAATTACTTCAGCTTTGATTTTGTTGGTATGCGAGTCTCAAACGGACATGATGTTGATCAGACAAAGAAGTGCTTATTTGCTTATGTAACAGTGAACGTACGATCGATGAACAACGCTAGAGTATATCGGTACTTAATTAGGCAGAATTGTAGTGAGGCACATTATGTAAATTCAAATGATTTGGTTATGATAACATATTTTCCTTAAATGTGGTTAAGTGACCTGACATCTCACTAATTTGCTACACACTTCGAAGAGCAATAGTAATATTTTCTTCATATATAATATTTCATATATATCATATATTTTTCATGGTTGTCTCTCAACATTTTAAAGCTAACGCAGAGTAAAACATACTTTTTCCAGTATTGTTCTAGCACCAGAGTATACATTTAATGTCAATAAGTAAGCCTAGTTATATTACTCATTCCTACTTTTCCACATGCTATTAATCCCACATGCTATTATTGAGTATGTATCGTAACTGCAAAGCATTGTAACAAGAACACAGTTCTATATGCTTATTCCATCATATTCTCCACCGTTGGTATTGTTAACGGAACTTTGTTGTATGAACTTATTTTTTCATTTTTCTATATTGTAACAATAACTGTTGCTTGTATTTTTAATGCAATTAACATTTGTTCGTTGCAGCAGCGATGTTCCTGAACGTTGGTCTGAGCGCAGTTTAAATTTATTTTATTTATATTTATTTATCTTCTATATTTTACCAATAACTGTTGCTTGTATTTTTAATGAAATTTACATTTGTTCATTGCAGCAGCAATGTTCCTGAACGTTGGTCTGAGCGCAGTTTAAATTTATTTTATTTATATTTATTTATCTTCTATATTTTACCAATGCTTGTATTTTTAATGCAATTAATATCTATTTATTGCAGCAGCGATGTTCCTGAACGTTGGTTTGAGCGCGGGCGCGAGCGACGCGACGACGCCGCGCACGCCTGAGATCCTCAACTCCATCATCAGCATCACGAGCCCGCGTCTGCCCCACCCGTACCCCCACTACCCCGTACGTTGTTATCACCATTATTGTTGATATTGTTGTAATGTTGGTGCTGGTGGTTGGTGCTGCTTAGTGACTTGGTATTAATGTGTGGAGATGTTCAAGAATTATGTTATCCGCGCCTGCCCCACCCGTACCTGCACTACCCCGTACGTTGCTATCACAATTATTGTTGATGTTGTTGGAATGTTGGTGCTGGTTAGTAACTTGGTAAAAATGTCTGGAAATGTCGAGAATTATGGTATCCGCGCCTGCCCCACCCGTACCTGCACTACCCCGTACGTTGCTATCACAATTATTGTTGATGTTGTAATGTTGGTGCTGCTTAGTAACTTGGTAAAAATGTCTGGAAATGTCGAGAATTATGGTATACGCGCCTGCCGCACCCGTACCCCCACTACCCCGTACGTTGCTATCACCATTATATGGTTGATGTTGTTGTAATGTTGTTGGTGGTGGTTGGTCATGCTTAGTAACTTGGTATTAGTGTGTGGAAATGTCGAGAAATATGTTACCGCACTACCCCGCACGTTGCTATCACCATTATTGTTGATATTGTTGTAACATTGGTGCTGGAGGTTGGTGCTGCTTAGAACTACCCCGTACGTTGCTATCACCATTATTGTTGATATTGTTGGAATGTTGGTGCTGGTGGTTGGTGTTGCTTAGTAACTTGGTATTAATGTGTGGAAATGTCGAGAAATATGTACCCCCACTACCCCGTACGTTGCTATCACCATTATTGTTGATGTTGTAATGTTGGTGCTGCTTAGTAACTTGGTAAAAATGTCTGGAAATGTCGAGAATTATGGTATACGCGTCTGCCCCACCCGTACCACCACTACCCTGTACGTTGCTATCACCATTATTGTTGATGTTGTTGTAATGTTGGTGGTGGTGGTTGGTGCTGCTTAGTAACTTGGTAATAGTGTGTGGAGATGTCGAGAATTATGGTATCCGAGTCTGCCGCACCTGTACCTGCACTACCCCGTACGTTGCTATCACCATTATTGTTGATATTGTTGGTGCTGGTGGTTGGTGCTGCTTAGTAACTTGGTAATAGTGTGGGGAAGTGTCGGGAAATATATTTTTGGTATACGCTGCTTTTTATGAGTTGATGAGTCGAGTCTCTTAATAACTAAGCAAGCGAGCAGCGTTTAATAATTGTGTGACATGAGCAGTAAATTTTATGTTTGTGGTGTTGTAGCGTGTATTCTTTATAAGTCGGTTAACTGGGGATATCTAAATTTAATCGCTTCATTAATGCAATTAATTATCTGAACTCGTTTTACGAACTGTTCTCTCGACTCTGTTTAATTCACTGTTATCATTTACTTGTACTGTCTTGTGCAATTTATTTCTTGCTGTTCCGATAGTATGTAGTTTTAGGAAGAACTGATTGACACACACGAGCTGAAGCTCATTCCTGTGTGTGGCACAATACTTTGAATGACTGAGATTTGTGTGACACTGATTTGTATGACTTTTTTGTGTGACTCTGATTTGTATTACACAGAGCGGCACTGCAGAGCTATTATCCCCGGACTGTTCAACCCCTGGAGACGACATTGGTGGACTGGGGGGCTGGGGGGCTGCAGATGAAGGGGGCCACCTTCTGGGTAGCGGGGGCGGGGAGTCACTAGGCTACACAAGTCTACGCAACGCCTCCGCCCCGTTCAGCTCCCAGTTCCCAGCTAGCAGTAGCTTACTTACACCTACATCTGATGGGTGTTCTCCCCCACTTCAACAAGGGGGAGCTATCATCCCCCAACCAGGGGGTAATATCACCCAGTTGGGGGATCTACCATCACCCGTAAGCACCGTAGAAGCCACCAGATCAGCCCTGATCAAAGAAGGGCTCAAGCTCCAGATCACCTCTAAGCTTCACCAAACTGGCACCTGCCCTGAGAGTCTCCTCAAGCCTGACCCTGCGGTCGTGAAAACTGAAGTAAGTTTCTTCTATACTCGCAAATTTTCTCTTTCTTTTTAGAAATTTCACTAATAACATTTCAGGCGCTTGTTAAAGTGATTGTTCGTGAATAAATCTTTTTATTCAAATTATACTTTTTATCGAAGTAATATGTATATATATGAAGTAAATATAATGACGGGCAATTATATATAATCGATATATAATCGAATTATATATCGAATTCGATATATAATCGAAAATTCCAACATTGCCTTAATTTGAATAAAATCTTTACCAACGATATAAAGTATAGAATTGATCGCCGGATTTACGGATGATCACTATCATGCTTATCGTTTTTTCTGCCCCTTATAAGATTTAAAATTTAGGCATATGCAATGGTAAAATAGATATAATGAAGATATTTTTATTCTTAACATATAACAATGTATATATTATTTAGATGTAAAACAAAGGTAGAAATATTGACAAAATCTACGGATTATAAGGTGATAATTTCAGTATCAACGAAATTGTTGGGCGACAGAAGCTTATTTCGAAATAGGTAAATAAATAAATACTGCCCACGAATTTGAAGTGAGGGCTTTTTCAAAAATTTATGAAATTTATTCATAACGGTTTGACGTCGGATTCACTCATAGCTTATCGAAAATACATTGTACGCTCGGCATAGCCTTGAATTGTAAGGTAAGTGCCAAAAACTACGTGGACCAATGAAAATTTATACAAATGTTCATAGAAACCATATGTGGCTTATGTCTTTATTTCGGATCAGAATGCAATGTACCAATGATGTATGTTGCGATAAGTCGATTAAGCCTGTTTTTTAATCGGCGATTATTGCATTGAACAATTAAAATAATTGATATGGATGATTATAGAAAAAAACGATAGTCATGCTGATATTCATATTCTGCTTAGAAAGAATAACAGGTATTCTTAATCTCATATCGACAGTGGTACATTTATATGATTTTCAAACCTTTAATATTCTGGGGGAAAAATAATATTCTCTAATAATATTTTAATATTCTCTTTAATATTTTCTCAGTGACTCAAAAACTTTCGTAAAGGTTCAGTTCGTAAAGAAAATAATATATTTTGCACATATACTAAAAACGAAATTAATTTTTGTTTCAGTTGACCCAAGAAGACGAAGAAAGAAGGAGACGACGAAGAGAACGAAACAAACTCGCGGCCACCAAATGTCGGAATAAGAAGAAAGAGATGACAGAAATTCTGATGACGGTAAGCTGGGCTAAAATAATTTGAATTAAAAACTTAAAAAACGGATCAATAATATTTTTTATATAATTCGAAGAGACAAACGCAAGCTGCATTAGACTGAAACGAATTTTGGAAATTTTTGTATTTGATCAACCTTACAAATTATGTAACAAAATAGCCCGTCAATTATGTCAATGGGAGACAGGGCCGAAAGACAAAATAAAGAAGAAACAAGACATTAAAACTGCAACGCAATGAGAAAAATGACTCGTTCGTATTTCCACTAAAAAAATCACCAAGAAAAATATTCATCGATATTTTGAAAATGTATGCCTCGTCATGCACTGTAAAACTGACAGCTTCGAGAGCAACTGATGCTGAATGTGACTTGTGATAGGTTATTAATAAGGAGGTAATAAGGAGGATTATTAATAAGGAGGATATTATTAATAAGGAGATAAGCTCCTAACACGGATGCAAGACGAGTGCCAAGGCGGGTTTGGTGGAGTGCCAGGCAGCAGTGCCGGGCATGTGTGATGGTGCCACCACCGCACCAAAGATCTCTTTGTGTGTAAGATACACTTAAAGAAATGAGTGAGCTTCTGTCCGAATTGCGATGTAATTAGTTGTGTTGGTCAACCTGACCGACCCAGTATGACCCGGCAAAAAGGCCTTTTTTTTGTGCCACAATCGCTCTTTGTCGGTCGAATGTGTCACTATTTCGATACTTTGAACAATTAATATTTTTTATGGGAGGTTGAACAGATATCGATGGTCAAATCTGTGGGGCCGTATAAAGTCTTGCATAAAATAAATAAAGTCTTGCATAAAATAAGTTAAATAATATCCGCAAGGTTCGACTTTATTTATGTTTGCCCCTTACAAGAACAACGACAAAACTCTATATACAATACTACTATTTTAATGTAGATTCTTTCACATGTAGTTCCATTTGTTCCTTCATGTTTTCTGCTTTGCGACAAACACAGTGTAATTCATCCTTGCATTTTGATGTTTCATCAACGAGAGCATTTTTTTTAGACAATTATACTATATGCTGATTTATTTTACTGTATTCTGAAATAGTCAATTTTGAAGACGCAAGCTCCTGTTGATTGTTCATTATACAAAGTATAGACAGTCTTTTTCAAAGATTTTGAAGTTAATAGAATAGAATTTGTTCATTTTTATCAATGATCTGATTCAGAAGAAAATCACGATATTTAGCCACAAACAAATGTTACACGTCATCTTATGACCTGATTTATGAAATATGTCATTGTATAAAGTAAATATTTACTGAGCAGGAATCCGAGAGCGTGATGGACCTCAATGCACGCCTGAAAGGCGAAGTTGAACGCCTTAAGGTCGAGAAGGAGCGTCTCGAGAAATGTCTCACAGACTCGCGCCATCGCCAAAACTGCAAGCATCACCGACAATACGATCCTTCCCAAATTCCTTCCCTGGTCCTTGGTCTTCCACCGATGCCCCACTCTTCTAGAGCCTCCCCAACGTATCCTGCACCTTCGTCCATCACCTCCCCATCCTACGCGTCCCCGTCTTCTTCTTCGTGTTGTTCGACGTCATCCCCTAATTCGTTTTCGTCATTGCTTTCTCCTTCGACTGACAGTAAGGATTTCATCAATTCGCTTCCCTCTCCTTCTTCGTTGCCCTTGACAGACTGCGGCTTCGGCGCAATTTACGTAGCAAGCACTGCTCCTTCTTTAGATTATATCGAGCCTACCATACCTTCAGACGAGGCCTCCACATCCAAACCGGGCAGTAGCAAACTCAGAGGCTCTAATCGGTACCATCCTTATCTATACCCGACCTCTCCCTCCTCTAACGAAGCACCCATGCGACAAGACGCAATTTTGGGCGAGTACCAGAGTTCCTCACGAGCCGTTGCTAGCTCAGCCAATTACACGTCAGTTAACCCGTCCGTTGTTAGCGAAAGTGGAGTCCAGATTTGTGGTAGTGAGGTTTCAGCAGCTCTGAGTTATCCTAACAATACATCTGTGTCCTATGCCTATACGGACACGAAAACAAATCCATTTTATTATCCCGTGGTGACAACGAATTCATCAAATTACCCCCACCAACAGCAGCCGACGGGTGAAAAACAATATACCCAGCTAGAGACGGCACGAACGACTGTACCCAGAAACGCCTTTCGTAGAAATCGTAATACTACAACAGTTTCAAGTTGCGGTACAGCGCGCTACTCTCCGTACTCAATCAACTCAGTAAGACAAACCAATGAGGATAATATGTCGTCATTTAACGTGCCCAATACCTTGAGTGAAGTTCAACTGAATGATGCAGCTAACTCCGTAGAGAGAAGTGCTGCTTACGTGACAGAGGCATCTGGCGTGGTTGGTGGTGACGACGCGTGCGTTGCAATATCCACAATGAATTGCGGTATCCAAATGACTGATTCTATCGTCAGCGGTAGCTGTCAAGTCGAATCTTTTGATAATTCACATCAAACTTGTTCTTCCAATGCCATGCAAAACCTATTTTTCCCTCCAACATCTTACGGAACGTGTGACTCAATGTGATTTGCCATACTTTTTGGCACTCAAAGTTGCAAGTTCTTTCATCTATTTCAACGTATGATAATAAGATTGAACGCACGTGAAAGCAATAATGAGATTTTGAAGACCGTTATTACCACTGATCTGGACTTTGTTTATTGCCATTAATTTAACCTATAGTATACTAAACACTTTTCTTTCATGAACCTCTTAAATGTTGATGAGGGATAAAAGTGAAAATACTTATCAAACAACAGCGCTAAAGGACGTATCAATGGACGGACAGAAATCTGAGCAAGTGCTTGGTATTCTTTCTTACGCAAGTAAGCAAAGAAATGTTTCTTTTTGAGCTAGCAACTGACGTCGTGTTTACAATTTATTCAATTTTGGTGAGTTACCGTTCATCGGCCCTAGCACAGAGAACGACTGAACATCGTTACTTCTGGTGAATACCGCAGCTTTTGTAACATTTTCAATTTTGTTCCTAATTAAGGTTGGGCGATGAGCCCTTGCGCTGTGTTTGTGTGTAATTAATTTGCATGTTTCTCTATAGAATATGCCTCGGTCAGTAATATGTTCTGTTCCGTGCTTTGAGATAAAACTATCGTTGTGTTGACAAGGTCGTCCGCACCATCCTTGTTGAATCTCGGTTGTGATGGAGCATGACGTCTACTCATCAGACAAGATGTTCATATATTGTATATGTAGTTCTAGTTAGAGAGGTGTTGTATTTTCATAAGTTTACACGTTTTATATTAATGAAAACATTTATGTAGTTTTATATTTATGGTACAAATGTAAGTTGACATTCCTCTCACTGCATGAGCCGGTGTGGAAGATTGGAATTTGTTTTAAAATCGGGATTCAAGTTTTGAGTCTGATTGTTTGCTCATTAATCGGCTTTCTATGATTAAATAATGATTTGAGTGAGAATGTCTTAATTCTCATCATAAAAGTGTCGTGAAGTTTGTAAGGTAATTGTTGCTAGAAGTAATCTTGCTTGTTAAAATAGTTTACTGGATTTTTGCGATATTACTGCGTTACCTGCCATAGATCTAATGGCCCGCTTGCAGGTACAGTAATTTTTGCTTTCAGTAGGCGGAGAAAGATTTTTAGGACGTAAGTCTTACCCTTCTTCTTATGGAAGGGTTGCAAGAGTTGCTCGTCTTTGTTGTTTTATTATTCCAATAATAAATGGAAATTTATCATCAATATGGAAACATTAGGTTAGACATCAGTGTCATTAAGAATACTGAAGTGCTAAAACTTGGTGATCAATTTTCGTTTAATATTGGAATTGTATTTTTGTGCCTTCCTCTAGTCTTTGGACGACTAATCAGCCTCAGTGAGACTACCGAGGAAAGGCCATTTTGATTTAACGATTTCGTTGATAGCTTCTTCTTATGTAACTGTGTGAAGTCTAACACATTTACTTTCAGGGGATATGTTGTCTTCTCATTTTTATCTAACGCGGTGTGCTCATTAAACCTGTGCCATTTTGTGCCCGATGTTGTGTGGTAAACAGTGTTATGCAGTTGCATTTAATCACAAATGAGATTTTTTCCTTGAAAATGGTCTAATGCAGGGATCGAATCTTATGATAAAATTTCATAAATCTAACACATTACTAATCAGCTGCAAATGTCAGCAAAAACTCATTTCCTCCTTCCAATCATATTTTCTCAATTAATTTTCAGTTGTTTCACCGCCACATTTCCTCCATCATTGTCATTTTCCTTTGCTTCCTCATTGACCGCCTTTCAGATTTCCTTATTTACTTACGTTCCTCCGACCGACCCCTTCCTTTCTTCAACCTACTAGATCAACTTCATCCTCCACCTTACTATTCCTATAACGAATTGTTGCTGCGGTGGCGCACACGTCGACAACATCGTTTCTCGAGATCTGCTCATTTCACGCTCAAGAATTCCTCTATTCTTAAATCGAAATGTGTTTCTTCTTGAACGAACAAGTTTTCTTTTTATGCAGAAATTCCGGCATACGGTGCGACTTCCCAACAACCCTGCTCTGGAATAGCAGAGATGATAGAAGCCGCGGAGTACATTGACGATCCTTCGTGTTTAGGGCACTGCTACGACCGCCACTTTTTCGATTTCCTTACGATGATAAAACTGAACGATTGAGACGACTATTTTAAAAGATGCTCACAAGGCTTTCAAGCCGTGTTGCAACTCGTTGAAATTTTCAACGATACAACAAATGTCAAGATGCAACTTGTTTCAACCGGTTGATGAGCGAAGTACAACGTTAGACATTCAAACTGTAGTCTGACGCAACGATGTTAGACATTATCAAGAAGACTAAGCCCTAACAAATACATTTATATGGCTACCACTTAAATTGATCCGATTGAACTTTGTTGTATTTACTTCTGTGGTACAGAATCTCTCCCAAGTCCATGTCAACGACTTCGAGCCTTAGGTCTCTTACGAAGATCTACCCAACAGAATTCAAGATGAGAAATAACCTCCCGAGGTTGACAACAGCGATCTCTGAGAAGACTATAATCTTTTCTCATTCATTCGCTCCACGAGAAAATCAAATTTAATGCGTCAAATTTTTTATTGATGATAGATAAATACTCGGAACACTCACGGACTATTAACGACTTGCCAGAGAAGAACTCACCGTAAGGTGCGATGCCTTCTGCTGTGTTCATCATATGAAGGTGCATGACAACCACCACAAAGTGATCCGTCAACAACGAATCTTGAATGACCCACCACCCCCGACGACTAAGCGACCATCCAACCCTCGAACGGCCCGACCAACTCTCGGCTCCTAACGAATGATTTCGACACGAAGCAAGCGATACGAATCTTTGTCAAGAATTGAAGCGTGGAAACGGTTAATACTGACAGCACTCTGACGAAAATTTTCTCATTTTGCATGGGAGTTTCTAGTGGAAATGCGAATAAAGAGTTCCGGATGCGGAGCAATTTAAAAATTCAGAGAATGGACGCCAACTAGACTTTGAAACCAGTTTACCTGTGTCTTTTCAAACGATTGCGTAGACGGACCACCTTGTTCTTTTCTATGCATGAATGAGCACAAAGAGGCTCTCATAATTGTTCATAATTTCAGCCTTCACTAATCTCTGTTCTGTTCTTCGCATGTTTCAAGAATCATTCATGCCATTGGGTAATTTGGTGTAGAATATATTTCCCAGAATAACTATATTGACCACATAACATCGGTGCATAGAAATGACCTACGCAAGAGACTTCTCGCCATCTCACCTAAACTTTAGTTTTGTTTGTAAATACATATCAAATTTCGGTTCTAGTTGAAGATATCTAGTTAGTGCTCTGATATGCGCAGGATTTAGATGTTTAGACAAGTTTGAGCTGTGATACGGTTAAATTGAAGGCACTTTAGAATTGCCAAATGAAGGTAATTCCTTCGTGAATATTTTATTTTTTGGTAAAAGTTAGTGTGGTCAACATACATATGTGAATGATGACAGAGTATCTTCCATGAAGGAACGAATAAAGTTCTAAGCCTTTTTATCAGTCTTTTTTTTATCAAAAGTGTTGCAAATAACTAAAGCGAAGATATAATGGGTTATTCAACTTTTCTCACAACAGTGATGAGTTATTTGCCCCATTTCGTCTCGGTTCTTTACTGCGTTCACGCGTCGCTGGATTAAATACAAATTCGAATTTTCTCTCTTTATCCAAAATACCGCAAACGCTTTCCATAAACAAATGACCCAACATAAAATATACGAACAATTTTTAATTCAATAGCGCATACTAAGGCAATATTTCAGAGGATATTAAAAAATGGAGTGTCAAATTCTCACAAAACAATTCGGTTACCATGCTGTCACACCAATTATAAGACAAATAAATAAATTGAATTTTGATCGACCTAGGCCATGTCTACTTCTGCATAGAAAATTCTCAGTAATTGGTACTGAACATGAGCCTTCTAAACATGGTTGAACTATTGTTGAACAAAACTACTGGTTTTGGTTGAACAAACATGGTTGAACAAAACTACTTGTTCAACCATGCTTCTAAATGCTGCGGCTGCAATAAGATTATTCAGATATTCTCGTAGCATTGACGGATCATTCAACAATTATCGTAGCATTGATGGGGTTATTAAACTATTCTCGAAGAATTGAAAATGTCATTAAACTATTCTTGAGAGGTCAAGCACTTCGCAGTAAATGAGATTGTCAAGGTGGTAGCTAACAGGAGACAACTTCAAGGATCAAATTGTGAAATGTACTCGTTTCAGCATCAGATTTTAATGGAAAGAATATATCTCCTATATATTCATGTTTAAACGATTAAATTAAACAAAAGCTTCATATTGCGTTCAATAATTTTCAACATTTAGAAAATATTCGAAAACTTATTCCGACCGTTATTGGAAACTAAATAAATCACTTTCAAGCAGGTCAAAATGTTCAAACGTGTTTGGCACTTTTGAAAAAAGTGCGCAGGTTCAACATAATCTTTTTTAATTTAATTATTTTCAAGAATTCGCCAAAAACGTTCCAGTATGTGTCTGTATTCCAGTGCCTGTGTGAACGTGCAGGATATAAAGCGCAGCATCACCGCATTCACGTCGGTTTTGTAGCCCGTTGAGCCGCACCTCATATGGCTGAGATCACAGCTAATTTGGGAAGCAAGCCTTCACCCCCACCCCTTCCACCCTCCTTCAGCCCTCCGTTCCATCCTTCAGCTGATTGTTTGGGCGCGCGATTTCATCAATCATTCATTATTTAAAATAATAATCCTGGAAGCTGATATTAAAGGTGAAAGCTGATATCCGATTCTCCGATCATATTGTAAGGTATACAAATTATTTGGAATTCGAGAGCACTGTCGTGTTACGTGTTTTGACTGTATTTCTATCTAAAATTTTTCGAAATATGACTAATAATTTGATTTTTCATTATCAAATAAAAGCACATATTGAACTATCATTTAATATAATTTGTTTTAATAATTGAAACAGACTAACTTGACAATTATTGAAGAAGAAATTGTTCCGATAAGAAATTGGATTTTTCCTGAGTAAATCAAAGTAGAAATTGCAGAAGCGATTAGTCTGACAGCAAACCGAAATATCGGTTTCTCCAGTGCAGATTGGACCATGGTTGAATTAATAAATTAATAATTAATAAATTATAAAATTAATACATGGTTGAATAATATAATACATTAATTAATGTATTAATTCAACCATAGATTGGACGACCGCGCCAACACAAAGTCCGTACCAAATATTCATGTTTACTATCCTACAGGTTTTAGCTGCATGTTGCTCTGACAATTCCTATCGCAGCGTATTGATAATAAATACTTATATTCATAGTGACAAAGCAGAGTTTTTTTAGACACTTCCTCTGTTATATTCCAAAATTCAAGCAAATGCGAGCAGTATTTAGGACTTATGACTTTTAAGTCAAGGGTTTAGTTAGGTTATGCGTTTGAGTCCGCAGGCGAGTTCGGAGAAGTGTCGATTCGGTCAATGAGACTTAGAAGAGAAAGAGGATTTCTCTTCTATTTGAAGTAAAACTAAAATATTAGTGCCTTAAGCAAGTTGTTGTCCTCAGGTTTAGGGGTCAAGTCTGTCACCTGCACATGAGGGGAGACTCGTGGGAAATAGAGTTTAGGAAACATGGCGCTTCTAGCGCCCGCCGCCACGGCAGCGGGCGCTTTCTCATAAAGAGACATTTTTTTCGAAATAAATCATTATTTTTGGAGTAATGTTTGATCACATTGAAATAAATAAATTTATTTAGCCTTTAAATTATTGTCATATCGACAGAACATGTAACTTAAATTCTCAAAGGTTTTCCGTAAATTCACTCATCGTGATAGTAAGATAGTTCATGCGATTTTGTGATGATGGAATTAATGACACATCTGCTTCCATAGGTAACTGTTCATAATGGGAAACATATGCTGAATTTTTAGGACAAAATAATTACGTGTAATTAGGGAATTAAATTTTCAGAGATAGTTATGAGTAAAAAATACGATAAGCGTATTTGTGGTTTGAGCAGTGATCAACTTGAGCTTAGTTACCCCTCTCATGTTTTCTTCGGCAGAAAAAGTAGCCCACAGAAAATGTACATTATATGGTAAGCACTTTACTGCACTGTCAATTCAAGATTTAGGTAATAGATTCTAGGAGGGTCGATAACATAATTAATGTGCAATAGCTGAAGAATTACTATTATAAGGGCCGTTACAAGGTTTTGAGGACTGAGTCATACTTAATTTAATTATGACAGGCCGTTTGATTATATATTTTCTTAATCGTTCTTACTCAGTTCTTCAGCTGTGTATTCACAGATGAGGACTTGAACAGTATTCCAGATATTGAGGAGCGCCCAGTCGGCTCCAAGTTAACATGTTTTGAAATACACGAAGAAAGGTTCTCAAGCGCCTGGTAGCTCTAAATCCCAACAAGTCATGTGGACCAGACGGCTTCCATCCCAGATTGCTCAAAGAATTAGCAACTGATGTGTATAAGAGACAGGGCCAGACCTTCCCCGAATACGGGGGCGACCTTNTTTTGCTACAAGAGAAAATGTAATAATTTTAATAAACGATCATGAAATTATTGGGAAGGAATTAGGAATTATTTAGATGAGTTAAAGACCCCTTAAAATAGAGACAATGAAGCCATTATTATCGATAATAATAATAATCAAAATAACATGAGATAGTAATATAATAATAAAAGTAATAATAACAATAATAATTTAATAATAATAATACTAATAATAGTAATTTAATCATTTGTTTTCACTTGTTCGATGAAATTAATGCAACTTGCCGAATCACACTAGTAATAAACCCAATTGGAAATTCTAGAATGGAAGTTTAGAAATAATTAAGAAACCGCAGCTTGAACAGAATATATAATAATATATCGGTTTCAGCGTTTATTAGGCCGTAGGTCTGTCGCCGATTCTTAACATCGCAGAAAATT